GCTTCGGGTCTACACACTTAGACTAACAATCTCCCACTTGGAGACCAAAGTGCCATCAACGAGCTCACCCGAACTCTCCCCTTCTTCGCATGTATCTATTCCCTGAAAAATTCTTTCTTCAATCAACATCCCGGCGATCGCGCCGATCCTCCTAGTGTGGCTCTGCCTTCGTCTTCTACTCGTGAAGGCCAACTAAAGTTGCGCACAACTCCAGTTTCTCAATGGTGACTGCCTTCGTTAACATGTCCGCCGGATTTTGACTCCCCAAAATCTTTATTAAGTGTAACTTTCCGTCCTCGATCACCGAGCGTATGAAATGGTATCGTATGTCGATATGTTTCGTTCTGGCATGATATACTGGATTCTTAGCAAGATGTATAGCACTCTGGCTATCACAATAAAGAACTCCTCTCCCTTGCTTCAGATCCAACTCTTCCAAGCACCCATTCAACCAGATAATCTCCTTGCTTGCTTCAGTCACCGCGACATACTCAGCCTCGGTTGTAGACAAAGTCACAATCTTCTGCAGACGTGAGACCTAGCTTACTGCTGTCGACGCTAAGGTATAAACATACCCCGTGGTGCTTCGTCTCGTATCATGATCACCGGCGAAGTCCGCATCCACGTATCCCTGCAGCACCAACTCTTTTCTCCTGAAACATAGTGGTTTGTTTGTTGTTCCTCTCAAGTACCGTATTATCCACTTCACGGCCTCCCAATGCTACTTCCCTGGATTGCTTGCAAATCTGCTCACAACTCCCACTGCATGGGCGATGTCCGGCCTCGTGCAAACCATCGCGTACATGAGACTCCTAATGGCCGAAGAATATGGCACCCTGCTCATATGCTCTCTATCTGCATCTGTCTTAGGCGATTGCTCCTCAGATAGCTTGAACTGACTTCCAAGGGGTGTGCTAACAACTTTAGCATTCTGCATGTTGAACGTCTGAAGTACCTTCTCAATGTATACAGCTTGGCTCAATCTCAATGTCCCTTCAGCTTCATCCCTACTGATTCGCATCCCTAGAATCTGCTTCGCTGTGCCCAGATCCTTCATTGCAAATTCCTTTGCTAGCTGCTTCTTCAAACTGTTTATCTCTTCCAAACATGGTCCTGCTACCAACATGTCATCAACATATAATAACAAAATAATGAAGCTGGACTCGAACCTTTTGAAATAACAGCAATGATCTGAATTGCATCTTCTGTAGCCATTGTTCTGCATGAAGTTATCAAACTTCTTATACCACTGTCTCGGAGTCTGTTTTAAACCATATAAGCTCTTCTTGAGCTTGCACACCATCTCTTCCTTTCTTTCTTTAATGAAGCCAACAGGCTGCTTCATGTAGATTTTTTCATCCAAGTCACCATGAAGAAAGGTAGTCTTCACATCCAACTGCTCAAGAAAGAGATCTTCTGCAGCCACTAAGCTCAACACCACTCTGATGGTAGTGAGCTTCACAATAGGCGAAAATATCTCCGTGTAGTCCACTCCTTCCCGCTGTTAAAACCCCTTCACGACTAGTCTGGCCTTATACCTCTTGCTTCCATCACTCTCCTGTTTGACCCGGTAGACCCATTTATTGTGCAAGGCTTTCTTCTGCGTAGGTAGCTGGGCTAAATCCCATGTCTCATTAGTGAGTAGAGAATTCATCTCCTCCTGCATCGCATGCTCCCACTGCTGAGATTCACTCACTTGCACTACCTCTTCATAACACTCCGGCTCTCCGCTATCAGTTAAGAGTAGATAATCAAGTGACGAGAGGTATTTGGGATTTGGTTTGGGTACCCTGGATGACCTCCTAAGCTCCACACCCTAGGTAGTAGCTTCTGCACCTGTAGTCTCCTCCGTTCTATGGTTAGAACTGACATCGTCGCTCCCATCTGAAAGTTCCTCCAAATCAATGTACTCGGATCCACCTGTATCCGTAGTGCTGCTCCCACTGCTTTGGCTATCCTTGGCATTGTCCCTGTCCTTGTACATCACCTCCTCATTGAATATCACATCCCGGCTCCTGATGATCTTCCTGTTCTTCTCATCCCACAGACGATACCCGAACTCATCAACACCATATCCAATAAATGTACACTTCTGTGATTTAGCTTCTAGCTTGTCCCTGACATGGTCACTGATATGAACATATGCCACGCAGCCAAATACTCGCAAGTGTGAGAGATTTATCTTCCTGCCACTCCAAACCTCCTCTGGAATCCCAAAATCTAATGGAACTGATGGCCCGTGATTAATCAGGTAGGCTGTTGTATACACCGCATCCGCCCAAAATATCTTAGGCAGACCTGCATGTAATCGCATGCTCCGCGTACGCTCAGTCAAGGTCCTGTTCATTCTCTCCACAATGCTATTTTGTTGCGGTGTCCCTGGAGTGGTTCTCTCTAAACGAATCACATTCGTAGCATAGAACCTCTTGAACTCCTCCAGCTCGTATTCTCCACCATTATCTGATCTCAAGCACTTCACCTTCAGATCTGTCTCGTTCTCGACCATGGCCTTTCACTTTTTAAAGATTTCGAACACCTCTGACTTGTGCTTCATGAAGTAAACTCACACCTTCCTCGAGTGATCGTCGATAAAGGTGACATAATATCTCGAACCGCCAAAAGAAGACACACTGGCTGGGCCCCATACATCTGTATGAATCAACTCTAGCTTCTGAACCTTAGGTGGCCTCCCACCCTTCTAAAAACTAACCCTCTTCTGCTTCCCAAAGATGCAGTCTTCACAAACTCCGACTTCAACGACGTCGATCCCGGTTAGCTTTCCTTGTGAATGTAGGATTTTCATCCCCTTCTCGCTCATGTGTCCCAGCCTATTGTGCCACAAATCTGTACTCTCCTTGCCAGCTGTAATTGCGAGGGTGTCACTCGCATGTGAAGTGAGGTAGAGAGTTCCCATTTTATTGCCACGGGTAACAACCATCGTACCGTTGGATATTTTCCATGAATCCCCGGTAAATATCGAAACATAGCCTTCTGTTCCAAGCTGTCCCACCGAAACAAGATTCCTCTTCAGCTTTGGCACGTGTCTCACGTTCTTCAAGTTCCACTTAGAGCCATTTATCTGTATCTGAACATCGCCCTTTCCAACAATATTACACGGCTCATTGTGCCCCAAATATACTTTACCAAAGTCCCCTGCCACATAGTTCTGAAGTAGTTTCCTATTAGCAGTGGCGTGGAAAGAAGCTCCCAAGAATCAGAATCGCTATCCATAGCAAGGATCAAGGCTTCCTGCACGATATGAGCCTCCTGTTCACCCGCATCCTTCTTTGGTGCTTTACAGACCGAAGACATATGGCCCTCCTGGCCGCAATTCCAACACTTCCATTTGATGGTTCTAACCTTTGAGTTTGACCTCTTCTTTACTGATTTCGACCGATTCCTATTCTGGTTCCCTTTCATCTGACTTCTGCCTCTCTGCTCGAAACTTAGGGCTGAACCTGAACCTTCTGATTCGGACTATTTCCTTCTAACCTCCTCGGATAGAATCATGCTGACAACCTCACTCAGCTTCAATTTCTCTTTCCCCGCCGAATTGCTGATTGCCATCACACAACCCGCCCAACTATCCGGCAACTGCGATAGAATCAATAGGGCTTGCGCTTCGTCATCAAATGTGATGTCCACAGAGATAAGGTGATCAACAATCGTGTTGAACTCGCTGAGATGCATCGTGAAGGACCGTCCTTCTGCCATCTTGAGGTTGAAAAGAGTTTTGACTAGATGCACCTTGTTTGCTGCCGATGGTTGCTCGTACATCTTCGTGAGCGCTTCCATAAGCCCCACCGTCGTCTTCTCCTTCAGAATATTATGGGCTACTGATTTGGCGAGCGACAATCGGATTTTCCCTAGAGCCTTCCTATCCAGTACCTCCCAATCACCATCTGACTCCTCTTTCTTCTGCCCCTTTTCCTTGCCCATCAGCGGGCGATACAAGTCCTTCTGGTACAGATAGTCCTCCATCTGCGACTTCCAGTAGGCGAAGTCTGAACCATCAAACTTCTTGATCTTTGATTTGTTTTCCTCTGCCATGACTTTCACACAAATTGCTAAACGAAACTCTGATACCAGTTGTTGGGGATTCGAAACAATCAATCGAACCCTTGCCCTTCCGAACCTTGTGTTAAAAGTAGGAAAGTAGGAATAATACTACAAATAAAGATCTAACCTTACAAAAATAGTAAAGGAGATGAACACACAGATTTAATGATGTTCGACAACGTGCCTACGTCCTCGGGAGCCACATCACACAATCTCTTTTATTAATTGAAGAAGAATACAAGCTCTCAAACTAGGGTTTTATCTCTCTGAGATTCTCTCTCTTTTTTGCAGTAAAAAAGCTCTCTTTTTTGTGTCCTACAAACCCTAAAAACGTTTGGGTATTTATAACAAACCCCAGCCAAACAGGATTCCTAAACAAGATAGGAAACAGGGAAACAGCGTCACGGTCGACCGCTGTGCCAAGCACGGTCGACCGGACAGAACGACGAAATTCTACAGGGTCTCGTGCACAATCGCGGTCGACCGCAGAGACCACTCCGGTCGACTGGCCAGAGCGAAAGTTTCTTCTCAGTTTCCTGCAGTGCACGCAGTCGATCGGATCGCCACTGCGGTCGACCGCACAATCTTCTGACTGTTTCCTTCGTCTTTTTGATTGCATCTTCGGGTCTACCCACTTAGACTAACATGTGATGCTGATAAATGAGAGGGGACTGAGTCAAAGAGAAATTATTTGGCTGATAAGCCGATTCTCCATTGAATTCTTGACCATCTTCAATCTTTACTTTGGCTCTAATCCTTTTGTCAGAGATGCTGGATCCAACTGTTAGAAGCCACAGAGCCATGTCAACTATGCTCGGAAGAGGCCAGTCATTCCCCGCTGACTGAATGGGAAGAATGTTGGATTTTTTGGTCAAAACCGTTTTCCAAAACCGCTTATTTACCCATTTTTATTTTCAACAACTTTACGACTCTTTGGGATCTCAGGTAAATATAACTACAATAGGACTCCCCACAAAATACTTGACAGAATCCCATACCAGTTGCCCTTCTGAAACTTTGTCTGCTTTGGGTGGAACTCCTTGAATACTCAATGTCACAGTAAAATCTTGCTTTCCACCTTCATTAGTGAATGTAAGGCTAATAGCGGAAACATCCACATCCACTCCCTCTGGATTATCAACCTTCAGCGTGTAAACCGAGTTAGCATCACCAACATTCGTCACCGTTCGATTCACAGTCTTCGATACTGATTTAGCCCCGAGAGACACCGAAATTGAAGGATAGTTCAATTGCTCAGGCTCAATAGCTTGAACTTGAGAACACACAATCGGGCCACCTGCAATTGATGATACCTCAAAATCCGAAAGTTTCATCCCACAAAGGTATCAGATGTAATCATGCAGGTCATTATCATATATCAGACCCGGATCATTAGCTTCCACCGGGTCCACATGACCCGATCCCATCGTGAAGGCTCCTGCATCTTTACCGTCATATTCATCTTTTATGGGATTACCGTCTTGGTCTTTCGTGTAGGTTGTTGTCATGATGGCTGATTTAATCACAGTGGGCAACCAATGTCGATGATTGTGCTTGAGGAGAGCCACGATCCCTGACACGTGAGGTGTAGCCATTGAAGTTCCACTTACCATGAAAAATGTCTTATCCGTGCCTGTAGGATTCGGACCGACATCAATTGGCTAGGCTGCGAGAATGTCCGAACCGGGTGCAATAAAGTCTGGCTTTATTATGTTACCGTTAAAGGGGTTAGGCCCTCGATTCGATAATGAGGACACTACAGGTGCGGGGTGATGTCCAAATTGCGTTTCTTTGAACTTTATCGCTGCGGTTGGATTTGATGCCTGGTCGACATACTTTATAATTTCCACTGTGTCGTTGTAGGTAACACGAGAAGCTGGATGGAGAAAAGCATCCGCGTCCATTCGATTCCCCATCCCCGACTGGCTCATGACTATAACGGCGGCACCACCAGCCTTTTTAACGATGTTTGTGGGAAATTTTGTAATAAAAAGAATATAAGGAAAGAATTGCGTTCGATTTTATTCTCTCTAA